CTGAAGCGCTGAATGATATGGCCTGGGAGGATGACCCCTACCAAAAGTACCCCTACCTCCAGATGAGGCGCCACTAAATCCGCCGGAATGACGAGGCCTCTTGTCAGACCCTGCCCTCTCTCCTGTGAAAGAACATCCTCGATCCGCCTGGCAACATTGGCAACCGTCTGAAATAAAATCTCACTCCCCGTCTCCTTGGCCATCTGTAACTTGATAGGATGAGAGAGTCCCTCAATAAACCTCATCACCTTCTCTCTCTCTCTCTCTCTCTCTCTCTATCTCTATCTCTATCTCTCGGTAGGAAGCAGAAGAATAGCATGACGGGCTAAGTCCACAAAGCGGGTCTCATACTGGGTGACAGTCATACTGCCCTACTGGAGGTGCTCGAACTGCCTGCGGTAGCTCTCTCTCTAAGTGACAGGAAGCAACTTCTCAAGAAAGATCTGAGAGAACTGGTCCCACGTAAAAGCAAGCAACCTAATTGGTCTGGTCAATACAAAATCATTCCACCATCTCTTGGCGGAACCTGTCATCTGAAACACAGCAAAATTGACCCCATTGGTCTCCGTATCCCCATGTTCCGCAGCACCTCATGGCAGCGGTCAAGATAATCTTGTGGGTCCTCAGAAGGTGCCCCACTGTAGTGATCTGGAAAGAGCTTGGTGAACTTGTCCAATCTCAATAAACCCTCAGGAGTCATATCATGTCCACCACCGGCCTGTGCCGCAACAACTAGTTGAGCTGATGGAGTCTGATACTAGGGAGCCATCTGCTCTGGAGTGTGAGTAGCAGGAGTCCGTGCTCCTCCTCCAACCTTAGAGATGGCTGGTGCCATGGGAAAAGTGTCAGCTGGGCCACACTCTCCATAAGGCCCACCAAACGGACCAAAGCATCATGTAGCACTAGGGTGACGATGAACCCCTCCGGGACCTGAGCTGGTCCTGCTGGAACAGTCTGGGCTGGAGCCTCCTCATCAAACTCCACCTGAGGCTTTGCCGCTGGTGCTGCTGCTCGGGCTCTGGGCTGAGCCCTGCCCTTGCCTCGACCCCTAGCACGGCCTCGGCCTCGACCTCTGCCCCTCGTAGGAGTTGAAATTGGGGGCTCTGGCTACTGCTCAGCTGAGGATGCGGTACGTGTTCTCGCCATCTGCGAGAGAACATAATAGAAGGTTTCAATCTGCAATGATAGAATAAAAATCGCACGACAGAGAAGACTAGAAGTTAAATTGTTCCTAACTCCATAGCCTCTGGGAGATAAGTACAAACGTCTCTATACCGATCCTCCAGACTCTACTAAGTTTGCTCGTGACTCGTGAGACCTATGTAACCTAGTGCTCTGATACCAACTTGTCACGACCCGAAATTCCTATCGTCGAGACCGTGGTGGCGCCTAACATTTCACTTGCTAGGCAAGCCAACGTTATAACATATTATCCATTTTAACAGTCTAAAGTTAAACAATGAAGAAGAATTGATTTAACTGCAAGAATCAAAATGTAAATGCTGAAGCTAAAACCGTAAAACATCTGCTACAAATCCCTGAACCCGGTGTCACAAGTGCACGAGCTTCTAGAGTAATACATATAAGGGTCTGAAATAAATACAAAGTTGTTTGAATGAAAATAAATAGCTAAATAGAAAGAGGATGGGGACTCCAGGAGCTGCGTGAGCTGAGCAGCCGTACCTCAAGTCTCCGCAAATGTCCGATCCGAGCACGCTAATAACCGTCGCTGGGACTGACTCCAAAATTTGCATAGTGTGCAGAGTGTAGTATCAGTACAACCAACCCCATGTACTAGTAAGTGCCGAGTCTAACCTCGACGAAGTAGTGACGAGGCTAAGGCAGATCACCTACACTATAACCCGTACGCAGTATATATGATAATGACAGAATAATAGAAATATTGAACAGAATTAAGCAGTCAACTAAAAATAATAACCACAGCCTCAAGAATAAACCAGCGTCGTCCAGAATTACCAATCTCTAACAGTTTAAATACAAATACCGGAAAACCAACACAGCTCAAGAAGTGGAAACATATAGGTTGTTGCGACGCGCAACCCGATCCCACCAGACATCACAAAATCCTCCCTTATTTCATCGTGATAGCTTCAACAACAGAGATAATATACATAAATATGTTGCGGCGCGCAACTCGATCCCACCATATATCTATATCAGTATCATATTCACCCTTATTCCACCATATCAATCTACCCTTATTCCACCTGTTGCGGCATGCCACCCGATCCCACCATATAGTATATATTCACCCTTATTCCACCATATCATTCCACCTTTATTACACCTGCTGCGGCGTGTAGCCCGATCCTACCATATTAGTACCAAACACTCAATGTACATAGTCAAATTAAGAGTTCAAACCACCAAACCTTTACGATCAATAAATGTCAAACTAAACCGAAATGGAAACCTTGCACAATATAAGAACCTACATAAGTAATACTACGCAACGAGACCAATCCAGCAATTAACAATTCTAAGGTACAAGCAAGTCAAATTTAACAAATAGCAGGGATTCGTGAAACTATAAAAAGAGCTAACATCATCAACAGGAGAAGATATTGATTAACAAGTAGCAGTTAAGCAGGGAAAACATTTAGAGCATTTGACAATCAAGAAAGGGAAGAAAGCAATTAAGTTAAAGCGAAAAATCAGGGAAAATAGATAATTTGAGGTCGTCTAAGCACTCATCACCTCGCATATACGCCGCTCACATGAAATTCACATAGCACATAGTCCGAGGGTTCCTAATTCCCTCAAGTCAAGGTTAACCAAGACACTTACCTCGCTCCAAAGGCCACTCAATGCTCAATCACAACTTTTCCTCTAGAGTCCGCCTCCAAACCACTCGTATCTAACCACAATTGACTCAATAATATCAATTATTACTAAAGGAATCAACTACAATGCATAAATTTAGAATTCCCAAACTTTTCCCCAAAAGTCAAAAACCGACCCCGGGCCCCCTTGGTCAAAACCTGAGGTTCGGACCAAAATCCACTTACCCATTCACCCCCGCGCCCGATTATGTAATTAGGTTTGGAATCCGACCTCAATTTGAGGTCTAAATCCCAATTTCTCAAAAATCTCTAATTCTACCCAAACCCTCAATTTTCTACTATAGAAACACTAGATTTTAGGTTAAAAACTAATGAAATGTAATGGGTAATTGAAAGAAAGTGAGTTGGAATCACTTACCAACAAATTGGGGAAGAAAATATCTTGGAAGAATCGCCTCTAGGCTTTCTAGCTTTTGAAAATGAAAGAATGGCAAAAATCTTGTAATTGGACTGTTTAATAATTGGGCGTCAGTGTTCATCGCGTTCGCGTGAACACTGACGCGTTCGCGAAGAGCTGCGTCTGTTAGGCTTACGCGATCGCAAAGGCTACGCCCCCTGGCCTTCGCGTTCGCGGTGAAGGATGACTGACTCCTCCCCCAGGTCCCTAATGTTATGCGTTCCCGTTGAGCTGGTCGCGTTCGCGAAGGGTAAGGCCCCCATCGCTCCGCGTTCGCGAAGAAGAAAACTTTCCCCGGTCCAGTTCACTCTTCGTGTTCGCGAGAGTACCTTCGGGAACGCGAAGAAGAACACACCAGATATCAGCTGAAGCACAAAAAACCAGATTTTCTAAGTTCAAATCATCCTGTAGCCTATCCGAAACACACCCGACCCCTCGGGGCTCAAACTAAACATGCACACAACTCCTAAAACATCATACGAACTTGCTTGCGCGATCAAATCGCCAAATAACACCTAGAACTACGAATTGAACACCAAATCAAATGAAATTTTCAAGAAAGCTTTAAAAGTTTTATTTTCACAACCGGACGTCTCCGTTTCTCACCAAATTTCACAATCAAGTCATAAATATTATAATGGACCTGTACCGGGCTCCGAGACCAAAATACGAACCCGATAGCAACAAGACCAAACATCAACCAATAATAGATTCTTACTCTTGAAAAAAAAATGTAATTGACCAAACTAGTGTTAACCGGTGTTTTAAAGAGTGGGGGCGCGAGGCGAGGCGTTCTACTTAATATAGGGCGAGACGAAAGTCCCGAAGCACAGAGCATAAGTCTCATGGATCTTTAAATTTTTATTTATAAAATAATATAATAATATAAAAAAGTATAAAAAGTTGATTAAAATTAATAAAATTTAAAAGGATCAAAAAACTCATTAAAAATAAAGTATCTAGCATATTTTTACTAATATAAATAATCCAACAATGTTAAAATTAATATGATACAAATCAACTATACTTAACTTTCAAATAATATAATTTCTTAAAAACTATAACCAAACTACCATAAAGTAAAATAATTAATAAAATCCATCATTATTGTAATTTAAAATATTATTCCTTCATGATTAAATATAAAATTACTTTCAAATTTGAGAGACATAGAACTAAGACGTGACGACCAATGGCAAGTGAAGATACAAATGTTGGCCATTTATTTCCCAAAGAAATGTTCATAAAATGAAATTCACTCTCACGATGTTCATTTAATTAATATGCAATACTATGGCTCGTTATTTAAGTTACTCTCAATTTTTATATTCGTGATGAATAGAACGTTTATCATCCATTTGTTGTAGAATTAGGAGGGCCAACAAAGCTAATTAGGTAATTCAACACATGATTTACATAAAAATTATCGGGCAAGCCCAAGCGTTGAACGTTAGACGTGCGCTTGGTCGTAAGCCTCATGAAACTAAACCCTGTGTATGAGCCTCATGGCGTTTAGATAGTGCCTCTCCCTGGGGCGAGCCCCGAGCGAGACCAAAAAAGCCTTTTAAAACAAAGGTGTTAACATTGATGATGAAAAAAACCCTAGAAGTGAAAGTCAGAAAATAGCAAAGAAGTCTGTTGTTTGGGTAACTTAAGAACACTTTAAACCAATTTTGGCGAACTAGTTAACAAAGAAATAGAGAAGTTCGTTATATCAAACAAGTGAGGACAACAGAGAATTCTATAAGAGGAATGCTTTTGTTATTTCATTCTTTCCCCTTTTTAATCTCATAAAACCCCATTTTAATCCCGTTTCAATCTTCAGCAGCGGTCACAGGATATGAGAGGATTTTAGCTCTACCCATTAAAGTTAATATATGAGTTTAAGTTATGCGCAGTGATAATAAAGGTTATGTTAACCTACAACAACAAATAACTTATCCAACCTAGAAAATAGAGTAATACCAAAATGGCAAAATTCTTTATCACCACCACTGTATATATCTTAATTCTTTTTGGCACCTTTCTCTCTGAATATTCACACTTCACTCTTATACTGACTCCATCTCCAAGAATCATCTTCACTATCATAATCCTCAACTGGACTCTCCATTTCTGGAACATCTTGTTGCTCCACAGCTTCAACTTCTTTTTCCTCAACATGTTCAGAATTCACTTCTTCCTCCTGTGCAAAATCAATATTCAATAATGCTTCAATGTATGAATTAGGAAATTGTGGGGAAAAAACATATAATGCTTATGTCATTGCTCTTATCCCCAAGAAGGTAGGACCAGAGGAGATGAAAGATTTCAGGCCTATAAGTTTAAATTGAAGCTTCTGCAAGATCTTATAAAAAATGCTGGCACAGAGAATGAAGAAAGTTATGAACATTCTGGTTGCAAACTCTCAGATGACCTTTGTTAAGGGGAGACATATTACAGACGTGGTGCTTATAGTAAATAAGTGTCTTGACAGTAGGAGGCAAGGGGAAGCGAGGTTAATGTGCAAGCTGGACATGAAAAAGCATTTGATTCGTGTTAATTGGGCGCATTTATTAGGCTTGCTGAAAGATATGGGGTTCAGGGACAAGTGGATTGGATGGATAAGGTGTTGCATCGCAAATGTTAGGTTCTCAGTGATTATAAATGGCTCTCCCAAAGGCTTTTTTCCTACGTACATGGGCTTAAGGCAATGGAGGGACTAAGTCAATGATGCGAAAGGCAATGAGGTTTCAGTGGATCAAGGGTTTTGGTGCTGAGGCTGTGGGTCACGATGGAGTGGAAATCTCTCAATTAAGGTATCTCAGGGTGATTCTTCTATTATTTGAAATGATTTCTGGCTTGAAAATAAACATGGGAAAAAGTTCCATGTTTGCAGTTAATGAGGTACATAACATACAGGGACTTGGAGATGTTTTGGGCTGTCAAATTGGAGAGCTTCCTACGGAATATCTGGGTATGCCATTGGGGGCTAGGTACAAGGCAAAACAAGTGTGGCAAAAAATTGACAATCAGTTGTGAAAAGAGACTTGCTACGTGGAAAAGATAATACTTATCTCTTGGAAGAAGGGTGGCTCTCATTAACAGTGTTCTTGACTCTCTTCCTACATAGCCTATGTCTCTGTTTCCCTTGCCAGTAAGTGTTAAAAGGAATCTTGATAGAATTTGGAGGAACTTTTTGTCGGGAGGTAACAAAGAAAAGAGGTCCTTTCATTTGGTAAAGTGGGAAAAGGTGAAGCGTGGCAAAAGAAGAAGACTGGGTATTAAAAAGTTGAAAATTCACAATGATAGCTTATTAACGAAGTGGTTGTGGAGATATGGAAAAGAAGAGGGACAACTTATGGAGAAGGCTTATACCCGACAAATATGGTATACAAAATCTCTGGTTCTCTGGTTTACTGGCTCTGTTAATTCATCTCATGGATTGAGACTATGGAAACACATCTGCAGCCTATGGCCTACTTTTGTTGTCAACAAGGATCAAAGTTGGAAATGGCAGGCAGACGAGGTTCTGGCAAGATGCTTGGGTAGGACATGCCCCTCTACTGTCTCAATATCACGATCTCTATGATTTCTCTTATAGTACTCGTTCTCTGGTTTCAGAGTGTTGAACGGAAGCAACTGGTGCCTTGACTTTTGTAGATACTGTTTTGATTTGGAAGTCCCTAGAATGGCTCTAATGCTAAAGGATTTAGAGAAGGTGGTCATGTATGATGATGTTCCTGATAGAATCATATGGACAAAGCAGATAGATGGAGTTTTCTCGTAACTTCTTGCTATAAAACTATCAACAGTGATGGTGGCAGCTCTACAGGCTGGCCTTGGAAGTGGATATGGAAGTCCGAAGCCCCCTATGAGTTTAGATGTTTCATGAGGATAGTTACACACAATGCGTGCCTCGCTCAAAGTAACTTACAGAGAAGAGGGGTGTCGACTGATATCAGATGTTTCGTGTGCAACAAGGAGGAGAAAAGCACTAGTCACCTTTTTTCACATTGCACAGTGGCAAGGCAGATCCAGTGAAGGATCTATTGAACATCTGGGGAGTAGAGGGATGTGTCAATCAGTAAGAAAGATATGGAACAACATCCCAGCTCGTGTGTGTTGCGCAATATGGAAAGAGAAGAATGCAAGTGCTTGGAAAGGAAAATAGAAGTTGTACAGAAAATTAAATACTCATGTGTATGGCTTTTTGGTGCAACCTAGAGGATGTTAGAGATGAGAATAGCATGCTTGATTTCTTAGATTCACTGCAGGATTAGAACTTTTATATAGATGGAACCATTCCATTTTGTTTTGGTGTAGAAGGTTCCAATCATTATAATTCTCTGGTACCAACTTAGTACCAGGATTCTGTTATTAAGATATATAATACTTAACCAGTTTCAAAAACCAAAAACAAAAAAAAAAATGAAAATGACAAGCAAAAGAAGATTCATACATTGATCTCCTGAGTTCCCTCCTCCACTTCCTGCTCCCTTGTCAAGTCAATTGACTCATCTTTATCGGCTTTCTGCAATTCCTCGGCTTCAATTTGTTTTAAACGCTCAATTACTCGTTCAAAGTGGGAATGATCTGCAACAAGTATATTATCATGTAAAACTCTGCAGAACAATTAGAAAACATGACACATTTTAGTGGCAAAGGCTTTCTCTTCTTCAGGCCAATGGTTCTTTTTCCTTCTGTGATGGTCTGATGACACGGATAACTTACGTGATGCATGGTGGTTAAATAACTCCAGCCTTTAGACATTTTACAAATATACTAATGATTATGGGCTACAGTAAAAGCAAATCAAGATAAGATATCAATATGTTTTCCAAATAAAACAGAAAGCAAAGTGTAGGGGAGTAGTTACTGTGCTTCTGAACCCCATTAATGGTGGTCTGGTCAAGCGAGAGACACATAAGAAAAAAAACAAATAATGAGATCAGTGTTAAATTAAATAAACAATTTCCTGAAACTGAATCATCAGGATATCAAGACCCTTTTTTTCTAAACTAAAACTCAGATTATGAGATTCAATTGAAAAATACATACATAGCACGTCCATAAGTTAACAAGCGTAATACTAGCTCAATTGTGGAAACTATGATAAAACATGTATGTTCCTGCAGTCAACGTAGGACGGAACCTGGCCTTGTTTACATTTTTTGGAACCATAAAGTAGCAATTCGCAAAATGAAATAAAGATAGAATTTTCAGAATATCCAAATTTCAGTTCTTTAGTACTGATTTGTGGTCAAACAAGATGAAATACAAGACTAATATCAACGAAAATAGAGCAGAAGAAAAAAACTGCGTCATGAGGAGATCTAGAATTTCAATTCTGGAGAATAAAACGCATAAACCATGTTGAAAAATATTAAATATAATAAAAGATATCGAAACGTCAGATCATGCATATATCATTTGAGAGGAAAATTCGACATACACAGATACAGTAGACCGAGATCAGAGGATCACAAGACAAAAACATGACAAGAGGAAAAAAGAAAAGAATTATGGAATATGAATCCAGGCAGCAATTCCTTTTTCTTTTCCTTTTTTTTGATAAGCCAGGCTCCAATTCATTTCTGGGCTTGGATCAGCCATAACAACAGGCTATGCATGTATACTTTCAGCCACACCCAAGTCATGTTTTCCATGCTGATGAACCCTTACTCTTAATGGAAGGTTTTTCTGAAAAAATGATATTCATTTGTCCAATTTATCTTCAATTTGTATTTTATGCCCATTTAAACGCAATGCTATCAAATGATAAATGAGTCTTGGAAAAATAAATAAATGTGAGTGCAGTAGAGAGAGTTGAAGAAAATTTACCTTTGGAACGATTGGTTAGAGCATCATGAAGCCTAAATGGATGTTGCCGCTCTTCTTTCTTGTATTTTAGCTTTAGCTGTCTACGTGTCCGGCCAGGAAAAAGTTGTTGTATCAGGGATAAGTCAGTCCCAAACTGCTGCACAGCCTGAAAACAAGTTTTGTTCTAAATGTCTAAGAGCAAACCAAGGACAAACAAAAGAGGAAGGGAGTGCATAACAGTACTATTTGTGCTCAATCACACGAAGTCCGTCCATATAGCTCTAATTGGTGCCATGACACCTATAAGTCAAAAGTTGTACCATTTTTTCAACTGCTTGATTTCTTGTAACATTGGGATTCTGCTCCACTACTCTTAAAAAAGAAGTTAACAACTAATTACCTTATAAAAGGGAATTTATCAAAAAGAATTATCTTATGAAAGGGCTCAAACTATCTTTGCACAAGTCCAAACCATATAATGAGTTCCCCATACTATCTCCTCCACACCCCATTTATCAAATTTATTCATTTCTTCATTATTATTTACAGAACATAAGAAATTGCAATTCTATGTGCACATAATTTGATAGACGGTTTTCTTTACCATAGAATCTTGACAGCCCTGGTAAAGCGACGGGCAAGTTCTGAATTCTGACATCACATTGAGCATATAAAAGGGAAGGGACATTATTGGTCTACGCAGAGAAGAGGAAGATATGAGACACTACTCCAGCATGCATGTGGTGGGTACTGTGGAGGAACGGAACCGGAGAGTTTTTGAAAGCAAGACTGACAATGATTTTAAGTTTAGATGTATACCTTTTTGGCTTTTTGGTGCAAAATGTACAATGTGAATTATGTGGAAAGCATTGTGGACTTCATTAGTCTCTTAGAGTAAAACAGCTGATTTTTTTGTAAACTGCTGTATATACTGCATGATCTTCGTGCATTCAGTATCAACAAACGCCATTTTTAAACAAAGTATATTAATAAAAATCAGATTTCTCAAGTTTATCTAAAGTCCCCTTTCTCTACTGATTTACATGCTGAGGATATAAAGATGCTAAAGAAGTTAATGTTGGTGCCAGCTTCCCAATTTCCTTTTTTTTTTTTTTTGTAACTTTAGTTAGACCAGCTTCTCACTTTCCAACAACTATATTCCTGAAAAGGTAACTATGTTCTACAAAAATTATATCACATGAATTGTTGACTTCCTTTGAAGTATCCATGTTGAATGACACAGGAACGGAGATTTCGTGCTAATTCTTCAAAATACACTAAATGGACAAAAAGCTACATAGCATTAACCGGCTCTCACTTACAAGTTACACCTAGGTCAGATATACACCGGTGAATGAGTCCATGTAACATAGACAACGACCAGCCTTAATCTAGTCTGTCAAGCATCCCTTATATAAATTTCTTATTTTCTTTTTGCTTTAAAACTGCATCTACCCACAATTGCAGATGCCTTCACATTCCACAGTTTTTGGTTGGGACAAATATTTCTATGTAATAATTGACAAGTACACTTATTTCAAATAGAGAAAACAAGTAACATTTAGATAGCTAGCAACAAAGATGTCCTACATGAGTCTTTTGCTACTACCTCATAGGAAGGTCTCAACAAATTGAAGCAAATTTGATAACATGATTGACGGTTTATAAAAAGGAAATACAGAAAGGAACCTACAAACTTGATCTTCCAGACCGGGAACGCCTAGGTGCATCAACTAATAACTTGAGCATTTTATAAGTTGCACTTCTAGAATTTGCTATTTAAGATTGAAGTTTTCAATTCAAATTTTAATTATTCCCCCGTTTACACCAGTATCTTTCAGTAGCTACAAATGAGAGGGATGTACCTCATAGAACAGTTCTGTTTCCTGTTTTGACCACCTTGTGCTGGGTGTTTTGTCCATATAAGTTTGATAATTGAAGTAGGCAGAAGAATCTTGGGCCCGAGAACCTATTTGATGATCATTATCTTCTGCGCCGTCATCTGAAGGATAGGACTCATCCTCATTATAATTAGAAACAGAAGCACCAGCACTGCACAAGCACAAAACATGGAGAAACTGTAACTTGGAAAAGAGAGGCCCTAGTCCCAAAAGGGAAAAAACAAGTAACACCTCCAAGATAAGTAAAAAAGAAAAATATGCCACAACAAAAGCCACTGATTGCAAAACGCATTTTACTTCTAAAATCTTTTTTCCTAATTAAGTTACCTCTTTTGAATATACTTAGGTACCCAAGAGTAAATATAATGTACTGTATGGCATAAATTCTCACATATTAGATATGACGAAATTATACATTTTAAACCATGGTCAAAGATCACCTAATATACTTACTAAGAACCATATTGGGTTCAAGGAGCATAAATTTATAACACATGTAAACTTCTAAGTGTTTACCAATGGCATCTCTTTTTCATTTTCCTATGACTAGTGAAAACAGTTTTTCACATGACGGCTACCTTCCAGCTTCCTGATCCTAGCACACAACAGGAACCATTAGAAATTGGACAGAGCAATACTAATTGAGAATTGACATCATAACCATCAAATCCTAAGGCCATTTTTAGGAACTTGGAATTAGCGTAGTTAATGCCCTACTGTTAGCTTATAGTTCAGCTTGAGCAAATCACAAGAATATTTCAGGATAAAAGTATCCAACATTTAGGTAGGATAGGATAATACTAACTATAGCGTATCAGCATATAAATCAAAGGGCATCTATTTTGGAGTAATTCCAAATTTTTGGGATTTGAGGAGATATCCTCCCTTGCTAATGCTCACCATCTTGAAGGATAAAATAGGTTTTCTTTTCCATATAAAAGTTCATTGTATAGAGAATAGAGGAATTACCCCCAGAACGAGCATGGAGTAAGAAGATAAGTGACAAGATAAGTGACGGAGAAATGTAAAATTTACATCAAATACCCAGGGTATTTCTCAATTATAAGAAAATGCAAAAATTTACAAGCTAATACTAAAGGTTAGAGTTCTTGACGCGTAAATTTGCCATCTCCTCAAAAGAGAAGGGAAGGAAATTTATTGATCTTTTTTCTTCTATATACGAGTTAGCAAATGGTGCTCTAGACAATATGAGCACTTGCTTCTCTCTTATGAATGCTTATAGGTGCAGAGATAGTATAGAATATTGTCTTGATTGGTCAAGGGAGAAGATTCTTCCACAAAACTCAGGTAGTTGCCCACCAGAGAGAATCTTGCAGCGGATTTTCAAGATATGAGGTTTCTGAGATGAAAAAATGTATGCACATGGAATCCAAGCTTTATCTGGTGGGTGGACTAAGCAGCAGAGGCAGGTTCTCACCTATGACATATCATGCTTTCTTTCTGTGCATAAGATACTTCAGATTTTGAGCGTACAGATTGTCAGTTCCGTTCCTGTTCAGAAAATTTGGTCATTGTGCCTGTTGATAACTTGATACTGGTGCTTGTGCGGATTCAGAAATTCCTTCTCTCCTTCTGCACTGTACTAATCAAGCCCTTCTAGGCCAATACAGAAGTAGTATCGTTTACAATAAAATAGTTGTGGAGTTGGGTAGTGAAAACCTTGTGTTGGGCAAGGAATCTTGAAAGGACTTGTGTTGGGCATGGATTCTTGAAACTCTAGGTAGTTAATCGGTATAGTACAGTGCAAGGATTTTTGAGGCAGTCGTTTGGGAAGGATTTCTAGATAGCAAGTAGTAGCTTGTTAGGATGCACTTTGCAGGAGGACTGGCCCAATAAATATGCATGCATGCATTTCCTAGAAATTCCCTAGTATCTGGTTGCTGAAGTAGGTCTTTAGTGAAAGATTTCCAAATAAGAAGCTACCTAAGCTACATGTTAGTCTCCAAGTCAAGTATAACCAGATTACTGGATTCATAACAACTGAAAGAGAACTTTACCATACACGCAGCACTACCTTGTTTAAAAGACATTTTGCATTGATATCTTAAGAGCATCAGCTACTGTAAGTTTCCGTTATGTTATACTTGGTAAAAACTCTTAGAGCAATTTGCGAATTTCAGATGAAATTACAAGGAATAATCCTTGAAATAAATCATTGTATTCCGTCATGCTATTATGTATGTGAAAATGCTTTGGTGCAAGTAATAAATATATTCATGTTAATATTTTCCAAAACGCTTCCATTTGCTGATGGAGATATCTGAATTGGATACAATTCTACCACTGTGCTAATTCACCTTCTATAAATCCAGCTACTGTAAGACTTGAACTTGGTATATTTGGTATACCTCTCAGTCTCTGCTGGTTTAAGTGGCAGGCTAGGTACAGAGAGTTTGTACTGCCTTGTTTCTGGCGCAGATTGAACAGAGCTTGTTCTGTCCTTCTTTACTTCTCAAGTAACTATGTAAGCAAATACGACTTGACCATTTCTGGAACAGTATTGATGCTAGCTTTGGTGAAGATGGTTCTCTTGGCTGGTCAACGTAGCTTAGAAAAAAGAGGAAGAGCTGAGAAAAGGGCAATAAGGGAGGAGTCTTCACATAATTCTGGAAAAAGTGGTTGGACAGGTTGGTTAGAACCGTTATCTAAAAGTAGAGAAAATAATGAAGCTGTAGACGATACAAAAGAGACTTATGGTGCTCTTGACGAGTTAGAAGATGGATCTGAAATGAGAAAAACAGACCTAAAGAATGAAGTCTCTACCACAGATCATCTACCATTTTCACTATCAACAACAATATAAGAAAACCCAATCGAAAAGGTTAAATGCAGGTTATTATCTTTTTTGCAAATAAAGCAAAAGATAACTGTAGATTAGTTTATTTATTTGTAAAAAGGCTTCTGATACCTCTGATCTGTAGTAGGTATTTGTGACGCTGCAGCATCTTTTTTCTGCAAGGATGGCAAGAAGGCAAACAAGAGAATCAAGGATGACTGTGTCATTTTTAATATTTCCTCTTTCTAGGAGGTTGGGGTGCAAACAAGAGAATGCAAGAGGAAACGTACCGCCAGCCGCTCTCTGTGCTCTCCTAATATAATTAGATCCTTAATAGGTACCTTTTGGTAGTCAATCTCATACTCGGGAGCCTCAAGCAAAGCCTTGTTCACTGTAAACAAAGAAGTGCCTGATCAAGAAAAGATAAATACAACTATGCCAAATGTTAGCAACACCCACTAGGCTTACCTTGTCTCCTCTTTTGACGAGTGGAGTGAGAAAACTTCTTAGGTTTCTTGTTGGCTGCCTGGTCTGAAGCTTCAGTGGTCTTTTTACTCTTCCTAACTTGCTTTCCATCCTCAGCAACTGTTCTCTTTGACTTTTTCTGTACTTTTTTCCCTTGTGATTCATTTTCCAGCAGAAGATCCTCATCATTACCATTTGTAACAGAATCATTAGGTTGTTCAGGCACATATTCCCCATCATCCGCTACTACTTCAGACTCATCTACTAGTCTATTTGCATTTACGGACTTTCTTCTACTCCTTAATGATCTACCTGCTCCATTCTCTTCAGTAATTGCAGAAAGATCAGATGCAGGCAATTTTTGCTTTTTAGTCTTTGGCCTCTGATGTACCTAAACAGACATAGTTGCAAGTGGGTTAAGAAGAGAAATAAGGGGCTCCACCAGCAAGGCGAACTATTTCAAAAATTGAGAAGTAACTAAAACAGTTCATTGATTTACAGGTTCCTCAGGCATCTGAGAAGTAGATTCAGGGAGTTCTGCTGGGATGCCAAAATCTGAGTGCGAAGCTTCGGTAACATATTCTTCATGAACTTGAAATTCATGAGTAGATTCTGTAATAATATTATCATCAAATCCTCTGGCTGAGAAATCAAGGACATCATCAGCAGGGAATCCATGTTCCTTCCCTCTATCCACAAAATCCATTTCAGAATGAACTGAGTGTGAATTTGGCTGACATGAAACTGACTCTACAGCATCTGAATCAGGGATGCTTGTGTCGTATCTCTCTCTGTATACTTGTAGCTTGGACTTGGATTGAAACCTTCTGGTACTCTGCCCTGAATAAACGTTAGAAATTAAAAATGAGTGCAGCACATGATAAAGTGCAGGTGCAGGAACCTGAAAATTCTCCCTTACCAGACGTAATAGTTACCCCCAGGATATCTGCTTCCAAGGAATGATAGCTGTCCATCTCCTGCAACCAACAAACTGGAGTATTTGTAAGTACGCAAAAGAATCTAAATGACAAATGATTTTCTGCTCAGTAAAAAGTGGGGAAGGGCATGAATTTGACCATCTGACAACTTCCACTAACAGGAACAACACTTCCTTGACAAGTTAATGGATCTTGGCATGCTGCCACTTCATCAGGTTGAAGATTAGAAGTGCTAGGAGCTGAATCATCAACTGAAGAAACTGGAATTGAAAGTTGTTCTTGTCCCTTCTCTGCACCAGCAACATGAGCAGCAGATGGATCTGTAGCGGGACTAGAATTTTCTGCATTATTATAAGCAGCACCACAGTTTACTAATTTAATCTTTAATAATTGGCCAATTATCCAAAATAAGGTAACTCCTTTGCAGCATCCGTTATCAAGTTCAATATGCAGGAAAAATTAGTAATAAGAGAACAGAAGAAGATAGGTCATAACCTATGGCGCTTGAGATAGGAAGTAAATCATCAAACGAATCCAAACCTATATATATGTCTGCATACTGAAAATTGAAGAACTTTAATTAGGAATAAAAGGTCCGTTAACATGATCAAAATATGGATAAGAAAATATCACCTCTCCCTCTGATTTCTCAAGACAAGTTTTCGAATCTTCACTGTTATCAGGCACTACCGTACTTATATCTAGATATGAACCAACTGATGGACCCAAAGTTTCTGCAGCAAGAGGATGCTCCAAGGAAGGTTCCGCTAACACAGAGCTTTGTTCATCGTCTGCTTATATTTAACAAAAGACAATCATTCTTGAAGAGGTCTTGAAGTATCAATGAAGAACATTAAAATATAGGCTATTTAGAGAATATCTTATAGTATGACATTTCAAGTGCTAAAACCAACTTTATCTCGAAGGAAAATTCTTAAATTATGCACACAAGCAATCAACGATTTTATGACCTCAACAATCAATATATGATCAAATTGCTGCAACAAAATGTTCCCGAAAAAGTAATAATAGTAAGAACAACATAAAGGCAAGAAAGCTAACAATTTTGGGAATTCTTTCCATCCTTCTTAAGAGCCTCAAAAGAATCAGTTGCTACAGTATCACCAGTGTGTTTTGACGTCAAAGAAACTGTTGAGGACGCAACAGCTGGACCTTTTTTCACCGGACGAGGCTTTGCCTTGGGTTGAAACTTGCCGCCAGCCTTGACTGCATCAAATAACAATATAAACTTGAAAGAATGAGAATATATTATATCAGAAACTTATAAAAAAAAATCCTTTTCACTCCACTTACCGGTCTTTGAAGCACCATCAGCCAAAATATCATCTAAAAGATCCATGTATACACTTTCAACACTGAAACAGAACAATAACTGATAAGACAAAATGTAACCACTAATCAAATAAGTTGGAAAAAATCTTAAATAAAGTGATTTGATATTTTGTTTATAATTCAATTTGAGAATTACAACTAAAGCAGTTTCACCTACACCTTAAATGGTCTAGTGGATAAGCTTTTCAAGACAGACAGAACCATACATAGAGGTAAAAAACAACAAAAAGTAAAAGCTCAACAGAAAAAATAAAGGAAAATATCTGCATAATTAATTCAGAACTTTGGTAAAATTCAATAATGACAAATAAAACTAGATAGGCTTCATCTAAACCCAGAATAATAAGATGTTTATTCTAAAACAACAAAAATAAGACTAGAGTAGTTTCATATAAACAATAAATGGTCTGTGAATAGGCTTTTCGATACTGAAACAAACTAGATAATAAAAGGACAAGTAAAATTAATGCTCAACAAGAATCAATTTTTACTAAATCAAAAATGGGTTTCACCGCCATCCCATACAAACACAACATTTAGCCTTAAATTTAACTTCACAAGTAACAACTTGAAACATTACTGCTAATCTCCTTCACATATTGGTTCTTTTCGAAGATAATACTACAGTATAAATACATAACAACTAATGCATACAATTGGGGGGGGGAGGCGGGGGGTTGCGAGTGTAGAGAGAGATGAACCTGAAATCCCTTTTCTATTATCGGAATCGGAGGAGGGGGTTGGCGCCTGGCGCGGACTTGTTTTTTTTTCTTTTTTACCAGTAGTACGTTTCTTAGGCATACCCTTGTGCCTTGTTAACCCAAAAAAATAAAAAAATAAAAATTATTTATATATATATATATATATATATATATATAAAAAGGATAATATAACGCATAGGAAGGGAAATAGGGCAGGGAACCGCACCAACAAGGTGAATTGGGCAATTAGATTGCTGCTTTATTTGTTTCTTCTCCCTTCTTCTTTATAGTATATTTCTTCTTTAGGTGTAATAGCTATTTGTTCCAAACGTGTATTTCTAATTGTCGGGTGTAATTTTGTTATAAGATATGAATTTGATTATTTAGAAGAGAGATTACAAATTATCAATCATAAATTTGTTTCTTTTAGTTGGAAAAAGTGTGTGATAGTTGAAAAGGTGTTTTATTTTTTCCAATGATAAATAATTACGAATTAACGATGCATAAAGAAAAAGAGATAGATATTTTAATTTAAAGTTAATCAAATACAATAGGCCAATTACTACTTTAATATAAAAAATAAAAAATAAAAATTGAACCAAACAAGTCATGGGGTAGTTAACGATTAAAAGGTTGTGGTGGAGTGGTATCAATCACTAACCAAATGTCTTGAGTTTGAAGTTTGAACCATAAGAATAGTATTATTTTTTGGTAAAGCGCTTTACGACTTCTCGGCACAAGTTCAAATTAGTTAAACTCAAAATGATTTAGTGAACAACGAGTGAAAAACTTAAAAAAAAATACGATCTAACATAGAAGAGAAGGCTTGTAGATAGTGTAGAACTTATTTCTTTTATTAAGTTAAATAAATTTATTAATGTGAAAAAATTCGAGTATACAAGGAATATACTTTTTCATTTTTGCGTTCTTTTTGTTTGCTTATTTATTTTGCTATGTACGCTTTTCATGCCATTTGGACAGTAAAGATTCCTATATACAATCAACTTGCTAGGTATTTGAGGCATTGTCAATATAGTAGTAATATTTATTTTTGTATACCCATCCATCTACAAAAAGTGCCTTGTTAGACCTTCATGAAATTAGAGATGTGTTTATAGTTTATACATATATATTGGAAGAAAAGATACAAAATTTAGCTTCTAGACGTCAAAAAAAGTGTTGTCTCTTGTATTTGAGGGATTAGAAGGAAAGAATAAATTTTGAGACTCATACACATGAAAAAGGCAATTTACCTAATTTGGAGAATGTAATAGAACTCTTCTATTGCATTCTATGGAGTCCGAAACCAAAGTGTGATTCTTTTGGACTCAAAGAACCATAATGTGTGGGAAAAAAGATTGGACAACCATAATATGTATAGCGCGGTTATTCACCACGTTATACCTTAACGGCACGTTTGTCCGTTAAGGTATAATGCGGTGAATAACCGCGCTTTATGTGAACCTAAATGAGCGGGAAGGTATAGCGCCCTTACGTACCGCGCTACGTAAGGGCGGTACGTAAGGGCGCTATACCTATATAAATAACCGTGCCCTTCACCTGTCCCACCACACGACAGAAGCTTCCCCCTCCCCCTCCCCTTTAAAAAAACCCCAAAACAAGTCGGTCCCTCCCCCACCCCCCAACCGCCATTTTTAACCATAAAAAAACTCGGTTGAAGCCCACCGGTCCCACAAAAATTGTAGATTCTCGGTCCCACATCATATCTAAGGTGTTATCTCAGAGTGGATTGCTCGTTTTGGCTCCAAATTACCAATCTTCAACTTTTCAAAAAATTAAAATCGAGGTATTACGACTTATTTTTTGTTAAAACTCATGTATAAAAATGCCTATTAGTTGTTTTTTGCTGTGTTCTATGTTATTTCGTGATTGTTTTACCATTTAATTAATTTGTTATTTTTTATCCGGATTATATTATTAGTGTGCTGAATAATTAGTAAAATAGAGAAATTATTATTAGTTGTTAAAAAAGTGTTAATTAGTTAATTTTTACTATGGTATATATTTTTTTGTGATTGTTTTGTGATTAAATTAATTTTTTATTTTTATCCGGTTTAGATTATTTATTGCTAAAAGATTAGTAAAATAGATAAATTATTATTTTAGGAATAATTAATCTTATTTAGATGTCATTGTTGTACATATTTGAATATGTGATCTTATTTCCTGGTAGTGGTATGTTGTGCCCGTAATTTTAATGTAGCGCTCGTATTTGTAATGTAGTGCCCTTTTAGCGTAGTAAAATGCAGTGCCCTTTAGCGTAGTATCTTTGTAGTTATTGAAATTAATGATTTAATTATCTGTTAAACCCAAAAATACCTTAAAAAGATGATAGTTCAAACACAAACTCTCTCGAATTCTAGTCAACAAACGTAAGAAAATAACAGTAGAAAGCAACAATATTTGTCAAACTAAGTATTGTTATATGAATATTTAATAATTAAATCTTGTATAGTTATGAAAATTATTTAATTTTATTATAGTCAAAAATAGGTGAGTAACAAACAAACATATAAAATAATAAACTAACATATAATTTTTTAAACAAATATATTAAATAATAAACAAACATATCAAATAGTAAACTAACATATAAAATAATAAAGTAACATATAAAATAATAAACTAACATATAAAATATAAAATTATAATATAAAAAATGTATCAACCTAATTAACAATATAGTAAAAATATCGAATAAATTTTAATATTAATGATATTGCAATATATTTAAAGATGTTAAGCAATTAAAAAGAAAAATACTTCAATTAATATTGTTCAATTTACAGTTGTCGTCATGGAGGTTCCGCCTATGCATCCGGACCTGCATCGCTAGAGCTACTGTTGCTATAGACCGAGCATAGGTCTTCATACGTATGGGAGGGGCAGTGTTTGGCCCAGACATTCCACGCTAGACGGGTAGACGAGATGTGGGACTTTATTAGGGCCCACCCACTCCATCCATGTATTATGTATAGTTAGATGCCTTTAGGATACGGGTTTCTATAGGATCATAGAGATCGGCAGGTTGCAGTTGGACTGGTCGTTGATCATGGCTATGATAGAGCGGTGGCGACAGGAGACGCACACGTTTCATTTATCCATCGGCGAGGCTACCATCACGCTTCAGGACGTGGAGGTTTGATGGACATCCTATAGCTTACCCGCATGCTCTTAGAGAATATACGGGATTGCAGTACCTGCAGATGTTGCAGCGGCTCACTGGTTTCCAGCCAGAGGAGAAGACTGCATTGAGTGGGGCCAGTCGTTTGCAGTTAACGCCCGTCCGACAGCACCTGGAGGCGATGGATGCGGACACTATGGATGATACACCAGATCTTCTTATCGACCCGTACACGAGATTGTTGATGCTGCTTATGTTTGGTGGGGTATTGTTCCCGAACACTTCAGGAAACCTAGTCAGAGATTTTTTCATCGTCTTGAGCGGCTAGATGATTTACCTGGTTACAGCTGCGGTGCAACTGTTCTAGGTTAGTTGTATAGGCAGATGTACCGAGCGTGCATGGGCATCCAGCGAGCCATTGCTGGATTTTTGCCGGTACTGCAGGTGAAAACATAGTCAATTATTTTTATGATTATAACATACATAGTAAAAATATACCTTAATTTTATGTCCACAATGTATATTAGGTTTGGTCCTGGGAGCGGTTCCTACAGTTCCATCCACCTCTGCCACCCATCGCTCAGGATGCACCACCTCCACCGTTTATCCCTTTAGCTAGGAGGTGGGTTGATAGGCGAAGCGCATTATCCAAAACCTGAAGGTATGCGAATTACGGGCGAAAAACTACAATGGGTTCCCCTGTACTCAAAACGATGTGATTATAAAGTATTATGTCGCTGGCATGTACTTGTTGAGCGACAAACACTATCTACAACCTTCCAAACAAACACACACAAAGATGAACCAGAAGTGATTCGACATTTGATGAAGGAGATTCTAGAGATGGAAAAGGCACTAGTTGTTCATCATGCAATGGATGATCTTAACTTCCCGGGAGGGACGGAGGATCAGTACTGGGATTTATTAGAAAATAAAAAATTGCATAGAGACAATGATTATTGTGGTTTCCCAACAGTTGTCGAGTGGGAGGGACTACCTAAGCTTCTACCACATACGTTGAACGTAGGAGTCCCATATTGTTGTAGAATCTAGCAAGTGGTCTTATTGATGATAACGATGAAATATGAGAAATGTTTGTCAACTGGGGCCTAGATTACGATGCCCTCGATCCCGAGGGGTACGTACACGATGTTGATGAAGAAGATGAAGACAATGACAATTAAATAGTGCCAGACAGCGACAATAATGGCGAATGACAATTTTTTCTTGGAGTGTATGTTAAATTGTTGTACTGAAGTATTAATGCAAAATATCAATTAAATTTAACACTAATGAAAAAGTAATTTTATTTCATACATTCTGCAAGCTGAACATGTACATACACTTATTACAACAAATTACTGAAACAAAACATTACGTGTATCCTTGATAATTGGGGACATTGGATGAACTTCCACCGGGAGCTAAATTACCACCGCTACCCAAACCAGCTGAAGGACATTTACAACGGTCGTGTCCTATTTGCGAACATAGCCACATTTACGGGCATAAACGGTATCACCAACATCCATTTGGTTTCGTATACGCGTTCTTTTTTGCACTTGTCGTTGACGCACATACTCCTTGTTACACACCATTTTAAATGGTTCCGCCGGCCAATAATGCTCAGCATCCACTGGCTGCAACTATCCACTATAGGTGTTTAAGTATGCAGCAACACTATATTCTTTATCAACATACCTCGTTGCCGCGAAACCTGTATGTTGAAAGCACGTCATGGCATATGAGCACAGCATGTGATAGATGGACCATTCCCCACAAGAGCATAACCTTCTGGTTTCATTGCCTGTGTGTGTATTATTCCCCCGGTTGTGATGGATAGCGATGCAAACTTCAAAAATATTTCGCTCGTTGAATACTGTAAAACGAATGCCACTGTGCTCGCTTCCTGTATTTCTCAAATCTTTTCATTAGTATTGGCATAAATTCAACAGCCTTTC